AACATCTAACACCCCTGAAATTAACATAATATTGTATGTCGACTATAATTGAAAAGAATTTTAGAAAGAAATAAATGAAAAAGGAAGAACTCTTCATTAAGTCTCCAGCCTCCGTGTTAAAAATGAGGACTCCCAGCTCCGATGCTCGCAGACCTGTCCGCAGGGAGCGCTGGGAGGGGCCTTGCAGGTCCATCAGTGCCACTCCTGAGCCCCTCTCTGTTGGAGAAGAGCCTTCCTTCCTCACAGAACCTCTAAACTCGGGCAGTAATGGTCCCCTCCAAAGACTACCTTGCTCAGCCTTCCCTGCCAAAGAAGGCGGCCAAGCAGAACTGATTGGGGAACATAGATCTTTAAAGTGGCCGGTGTGGCTGCAAGGTGGCTTCCCAGCCCCTTCCCCATTCTTGCCTAGAACCCAGATATCAGGGCCACAGCCGAAGTGGCCGTCCTGCAGCCCGAGGAGAACTTGAGGCTGAGAGCCATTGGAAATGACCCGTGGAACAGAAAGACCGTGTTGCGATCGGCACAGCCCGAACTGTGTATCTCTAGGCTTTTTCAAGTGAGAGGGAAAGAAAATTCAGTCATTGCTGCTGGCGGTGCAGCGTCAGCCCTGACAGATACGGTGACCGGGGAACATGGCTGAGTAACCGGTGAGCCGTGGTTTCCTCACTCGTAAACCGGTGGGGTTCTGTGCGATCACTCCCACACTTCTAAAACTCTACAACGGTAAGGCTCTGTGTGAGTGCACAGGTACAAAGTCCCCAAGGCTTCCCGAAACCTTTCTACCTTGGCCTTCTGGGCAAACTTGAAAGCATGTACGTCCTTAGGTAGAAGTCAAAATAATTATGAACAGAGGCTTACCACATGACCCAGCAATCCTCCTCTGAGCATGTATCCAGGAGAAAGAAAAGCATCCATGCACAGAAAAACCCACAGCTGGGTGTTCACAGTGCATTATTCTTAACAGCTTAAAAGTGGAAAAAACTGAATGCACATTCAGTCCCGAATGAACAAAATGTGGTATATGCATAGCCCACGGACACAGACAATAGTGTGGGGAGGGCCAGGGAGGGGCGGGGCTGGGTATAGGTGGGCAAAGGGGGGAAATGAGGGACATCTGTAATAGTGTCAACACTAAAGGATTTAAATAAGAAATGTGGTATATGCAATGTGGTTATGGAACACTAGTTATCCATAAAAAGGAATGAAGTACTAAGACATGCTATGCATGAACCTTGAAGACATTATGCTGAGTATAAAAGGGCAGACGCAAAAGACCACATGTTATATGATCCATTCACATGAAATGTTCAGAATAGGCAAGTCTATAGAGGCAGAAAGAGTAGCGGTTGCCAGGGTGGAGGGAGGGGAGAAGGAGCTGCCCATGGGTGTGGTTTCTTTTTGGGTGACGAGCGTGTTCTGGAATTGCATCGTGGTGAGAGTGGCACAGCTGTGAATATACTCACACCACTGACCTGTGTGCTTTCCAGTGGGAGTTGTATGGCATGTGAATTATATCTCACTTTTTAAAAAGAAGCGATTTGAAGCATTTTGAGTGAAATGGACGGCACCAGGACCAGCTTCCCCGGGCCATGCGTTGGCAAGTGTGCCCTAAGAAAAACAGGAGGAGTGGGGGGCTGGGGGAAGCCTCTAAGAAAAGGTCAGTCTGTTTTCCAGTGAATGGCTCAGCTCTGAGGCATGACCTCACAGCTGAATATCTTACACCTTGGAAGGAAATCAGCATCGTAATAGTTGTCAAGTAACTTGGTCTAGTATACAAATCATATCTTAACTAAAATGGGGGTGTAAAAGGTTGGACTCCAAAGAATTTTCAATAACTTCCTAGTCATTTTCACAATAACGACCCCCAACACAATATCCCTCTTATGCCCATGACTGGAGCATCGGTGAGTGGTGTTTCAGAGCCTGTCAGGACCTCAACAGAGACCAGGGCTTGGCATTTCATCTGCACTCGGCCCGTACAGGGAGTGTGAGCTGTGGACCAAGGACAACTTTGGATTTTTCCTTAAAACCAGGAAACTTCTTTTTCTCAACTTTATAATCTTCATGTGGCCTTGTATAATATAGGACCTGAGATGATAAGCTGCCGAGAAAAGAACAATGGGTCCAAGTCTGACTTGTACAGAGAGACTTCTCTGTCCTTAGAGGAGAACCTCTGACCCTCAGTCTCCTTATTACAAAACAAGGCAATCAAATCAGATGATTTTGTAGAGTTACTTTTAGTTTAAATTTCTATTAATCTCACACCCTGCGAGTGATGAAGTGGGAAATCTCAGTGTTAGATTTTCTCTGGGGCAGATGGTAGAGGTCCAGGCAGATCTGGAGCACACTGGAGCACATCAGGGCACCCATTCCTTCCCAGACTTTTGGGATGACCTCAAGGTGACTCCAACTCCCTCCCTCACTCCAGCTTCTGGTGTCCTGCACCACACGTCACGTCCCAGTGGGCCTTGTAATTTGGGTACCAAGCCTGCTCAGAAGTGAATATCCTCCTGATGGCACACCACAGAGAAATAGAATAGTTCCTCTGTGGAGTGTTGGAAAAACACATCACCAACACCACCACCAAATCCCATCACACAGTGGCGACGTAGCAAAGGGAGCTGACAGAAAAAGCATCTCTCAACCAGGTGTCGTCTGTGCACTTTCCTGCTCTTGAACTGTTTTCCTAGGTGTGTAGTTCCTGTGCATATTGATACTATACAAGTGTGCTTTTCAAGCTTTGCCCCAGAGCAACGGCTTGCCTGGTCAGTCTGGCGCCCTCGCCCACCATGCTTGGGCTGTGCGGTGGAGCGCGTGCTGACGGGCTAGCGCGCCGGCCTGCTGGGGGCCTGCTGTCCCATCTCGCAGGGTGGGAAAGAGAAACGCAATACTGGCAGTGTGCCAGGCTCCTGGCAGCAATCCCTCCCTTCTCCAAAGTGACTGGTCATGTGTCTGACAGGTTGTGCGGATGCCCGGCCAAGGGTAGATCCTGGGGCCCTGGCAGCTGACCCAGGTCTTCGGGGCATTTAAACCAATGCTACCCTTCAACTAGGCTATTGGGAGCTTTGCACTAGCTCAGCAGAAAGGGCACCTGCCAGTTTCCAGTTAAATATGGGAAACTAAGCAGAAGCCATGGGCTCCTGATCTATGTGACCCTCGGCCTGGGTTTTGTGATATATACTAGCAAAGTGAACTGCTCATTTTCACTTAGGGGGCCATTTGCAAGAATTAACTTTTTGTGCTCTTTAGAACGGCATTGCTCCCTTTCTTTGGGACTGTTTTCAAATATGTACCAGTCTCTTTAATATGGAAATTCCTAATCACCCCATACCTTTCCTTTTCTCTTTTTAAACATGTAAGATGGAGTAGAACCAAATAGAATGAAGTAAGCACAGGGTAAGATTTAAAGTAGTATCCTTTTCTAATTTTTAATTTGTCTAAAAATTAGAAAAATCATAAACCTAGTTTTCTCGATTTTTTTCTTCCTATTGGGGCCTATAAAGAAGTTTTGTACATTTGTGTATAACTTACACTCCACGTCTTTACCTGAATGAGACACTGACTGTCCCAGATCGAGGCAGTGCACTGGCACCACCTGACAACATAGAACGGATCCCATGGTAGCACACGCCCTTACCTGAAAGTCACCTGCTTCAGCAGTGGCTGAGTTCGAGTCTAGAGGCAGGCTTGCATTCAAAACCCAAATCCCAGCTCTGCATGGTAAGAATGCAATGACCTGTAAAAATGTTGGCTTGCCTATTTAAAGTAAAATTCTCTGGTAATGCAGAATTCTCTTCCACGTAAATTCAACTGTCATTAACTTAAATACAAATATTTTGTTAGGTAGTATCAGCATAATTGCTGGAAGGAAAAGTTGCTTGAGAATTTTAGTGTATTAACTATTTACAAACTTATGGCTAGTCCTAAGTCCAGGTGACTTCACCAACTTAAAAAGGCATAGCATCGTATACCTTTGACAGAAAATTACACTTAGAGAAATTTACAGGGTAGCTATTCTCATATACAAAATCTTTTGTTGTTGTTATTGTTGTTGTTGTTAACCCTCACCCGAGGATATTTTTCCATTGCTTTTTTAGAGTGGAAATGAGGGAGGGGGAGGGAGAGAGAAACATACAACATGAGAGAGACGCGATTGGTTGCCTCTTGCACAAGCTCCGACTGGGACCCGGGATCAAGCCTGCAAGAGGCATCTGCTCTTGATGGGAATTGAACACACGACCCTTCAGTTCATGGGCCAACACTCTTAACTGCTGAGCCAAACCGGAAAGGGCTCATATACACAATCTTATACTCACAAAACTATTTGCTGTGGCACTATAAGAAAAAAGTATAAATAACGCACATGGCCATTGGTAGAAAATGGTTAAATAAAATCTAGTACAGCTACATAATGGATACCATGTATCCATTTAAAAGGGAGAGGCTCTCTGAATTTTAAAGATACACTGTTTAGTAAAAAGAAAGAGAGGCAGCAGAACAGCGTTGTTAGTATCATTAGTATCATAATCAGTGCAATGAAAGGAAACAGAGAATGTACTTGAGTTTGAAGTATACGGAATATTTCTGTAGCAACGCCAGAGGGCTGCCCTCCAGGGCAGACACTACACCACCGGACACAGAAGGGAGATTTACTTTCCACTCTCCATCCTTTATGATTTTGTGCTGTGTGGATATAGTAAATATTTTTTAAAAACTGTAAAGGAAATAGAGGTATAGTACGATTTCTACATTAAAATGCATTTAGTGTACTTCCAGGTAGGCACCCTTTTAACTAATTGGTTACTTAAAGGCATTTTAACATTTGGATTGTTCTCCCATCGTAAACTGGTCTTGACGTGGTTGGTTCAGTTTGACCACTGAAAAAACCGAACTTTTACCTACCCCTTCCCTTTTCTAAAGGAAGGATCTAACGCCATGTGTTCTGAAAGCTGCGTTTAAGTTGATAACAAAGAACTCAATAAAGAGGAGACAGAAAAGAGGACCATTAGGACACAAATGTTTATGTGATTTTAACCATTACAACAGTAGTTCAGAAGTATCTCAAATGTTACATTGAAGTCGGCAGTGTTACAAGAAAAAAAAAGACAGGCAACAGTGAGGAGCCCCAGAGCAGCACGCCCAGGGCAGGCCATGCTTCCTCCCTGCGGGGCGGGCGCTCCCCGGAACCCTCCCTCCCGCTCCCTCTCCTCTCCCGGTGACCCCGCTCCGAGGCCGCGCCCGAGCTCAGGCGACCCCGCTCCGGAGGGGGCGCCCGCGCGCAGGTGACCCCGTCCAGAAGGCGGCGCCCGCGCCCAGGCCGCCCCTCCGAGCGCGCGCTCAGGCCTCGTCCTCGCCCTCCTCCTCCTCGAACTCGCCCTGCTCGTCGGCAGTGGCGTCCTGGTACTGCTGGTACTCGGACACCAGGTCGTTCATGTTGCTCTCGGCCTCGGTGAACTCCATCTCGTCCATGCCCTCGCCCGTGTACCAGTGCAGGAAGGCCTTGCGCCGGAACATGGCGGTGAACTGCTCCGAGATGCGCTTGAACAGCTCCTGGATGGCCGTGCTGTTGCCGATGAAGGTGGCCGACATCTTGAGCCCGCGCGGCGGGATGTCGCACACGGCCGTCTTCACGTTGTTGGGGATCCACTCCACGAAGTAGCTGCTGTTCTTGTTCTGCACGTTGAGCATCTGCTCGTCCACCTCCTTCATGGACATGCGGCCGCGGAAGATGGCGGCCACCGTCAGGTAGCGGCCGTGGCGCGGGTCGCACGCGGCCATCATGTTCTTGGAGTCGAACATCTGCTGCGTGAGCTCGGGCACGGTGAGCGCGCGGTACTGCTGGCTGCCGCGGCTGGTGAGCGGCGCGAAGCCGGGCATGAAGAAGTGCAGGCGCGGGAAGGGCACCATGTTCACCGCCAGCTTGCGCAGGTCGGCGTTGAGCTGGCCCGGGAAGCGCAGGCAGGTGGTGACGCCGCTCATGGTGGCCGACACCAGGTGGTTGAGGTCGCCGTAGGTGGGCGTGGTCAGCTTGAGCGTGCGGAAGCAGATGTCGTAGAGCGCCTCGTTGTCGATGCAGTAGGTCTCGTCCGTGTTCTCCACCAGCTGGTGCACCGAGAGCGTGGCGTTGTAGGGCTCCACCACCGTGTCGGACACCTTGGGCGAGGGCATCACGCTGAAGGTGTTCATGATGCGGTCAGGGTACTCCTCGCGGATCTTGCTGATGAGCAGCGTGCCCATGCCCGAGCCGGTGCCGCCGCCCAGCGAGTGCGTCAGCTGGAAGCCCTGCAGGCAGTCGCAGCTCTCCGACTCCTTGCGCACCACGTCCAGGACCGAGTCCACCAGCTCCGCGCCCTCCGTGTAGTGGCCCTTGGCCCAGTTGTTCCCGGCCCCGCTCTGGCCTGCCGGGGGGAGACACTTCCTGTCACTGACGGCTGGGCTAAGTTCCTTTTAACCATAAACCCCTTAATCAGTGTTCCGATAAGATTAATTTGGGTTATCGCCCAAATGTGCAGACATTAAAGTATTTGGTCATGGATATAATTATAAATAAGGAAGGCTATTAGAGGTGAGGGGAAACTCGCTTTAGCTTATATTAAGATTTAATCAGCACTCAACTGGATGTCCTTCATACTTCCCCAGGCAGTCACACCCCTCAAGCTGAGCTGTCCCTGTAAAGTGAGGCTCCCACGCTATCAGCTGTACCAGTTACTCACCAAACACGAAGTTGTCGGGCCTGAAGATCTGGCCAAAGGGTCCAGACCTGACGGAGTCCATCGTGCCCGGCTCCAGGTCCACCAGGATGGCCCGAGGTACGTACTTGTTCCCTGCGAGGGACAGAACTGGACTTAGACCTGCCCGCAGAGAACTCTGAAGAGAAGGGCGTGGCGCCAGCTTCCTGCTGCGGCACTGCTGTGGACCCCCAAACAGAGGCAGGCGCAAGACCCACCGAGTTCTCACAGGGTTCATTTGGCTGTGAACTGGGGAGCTCACAGAAACACCCCAGAGAAAGTGTGAATCCAAGCCCTTCAGTCCACCCTCCCTTAGGGCCAGGCTCCCAGGGTCAGCCCCCCAGGTGAGAGGGGTAAAAAACTAGAGGCGGGGAGGCTGAGGCAATCACCAGTGGCTTCGTTGTAGTACACGTTGATCCTCTCCAGCTGCAAGTCGCTGTCTCCATGGTAACTGCCGGTGGGGTCGATCCCATGCTCATCGCTGATGACCTCCCAGAACTGAGAGACAGTAAAAGGTTGCGCTTAGCCACGCCCACCCCTGCGTGGCCGAGACTCACAGTGAATAGACGCCCCCCGCGGGACTCGGTTCCCGCCACCCAACCTTCCAGGGGCTTTAGCGCTGGGTGGGGCCCGCACAGCCGCGGGACTGTATTTTGCAGGGGCAAAACGTTGAAATCTGGCGTTTCCCCCGCGTACAGCTGCTCCTGGCAGAAGTGAGAGTCTTTGGGGGTGGGAGGGACCAGCCGCCGCACCGCCAGCACCCGCCGCGGCGCAGCTCGGAGCTCAGGGTCACAGCAGCGGG